TCTTTGGAGCACCATCAGCAAATGTTCTGTAGAAGTTCACTCAAGCCCTTTCTAATTTTGTCTACATTTCCTGATATAAGATCTTTCCTGGGTTGTTCTGAACGTGCTTCTCTTGGACTTTTGCCTCCCATTTCTGCCCAAACTGCTGTTTTGTCAGCAAGTCCACAGAGTCACTGGTGAGTAACACTGAACCCAAGGACCAGGTCTGGATTCTTGAGTTACTTTTTAAAGAGTTTCTGACACTGTATCCTTGACATACATTCTCCAACAGGCTTTTGGGCCGGCATCATATGAAGTGATGATGTTCCATATTTGCCTACTCATTCAGGAGCCCAGAACCAAGAGGAACAGCCACATGTGGCCAGTAGCTTCATGTATTCAGTGGCCCAGTTCTAGTTAATTCCCTGGTTTTCTTCTTCCTCGGAGCTGCTTGCTGCTTCCTTGAAGATTTTTCTTGTTGGGGATCTCTTCCACTTCTGTGCTGATGTGCCCCAGTTCTCTCTTCTTCGGCTTTCTGTCATCTCATTCAGTCTTGTAGTTTTAAGTACCCTTCTCCAGATTTTCACTAGACTATCCACTACCTACTTGTTTTTGTTTTCTGAAGTGGAATCTCACTAGGCTATCCTAGATGGTCTTGAACTTGATCCTCTTGCCTCAACCTCTCAAGAAGCTGGGACCACTTGCATGCAATCACTAGACTTGGCTTCACTTCACTCACTGCCTGCTCAGACTTCTTATATTCACTGGCAGGCTCATGAAATTTAACCCGTTTAAAACCAAGCTGTCAATGTCAACTCATCAAAACCTGTTTCAAGTCTAGGATCAATTGTGCCTCATGCTTGCAATCCCAGCATTTCAGAAGAGGCAAGAGGATCAGAGTTCAAGGATAACTCTATCTACAAGTCAAATTCCAGGGCTCACCTTGGGTAGGGTATGGTGGTGACACACCTTTTACTCCTAGCACTCAGGAGGCAGAGGCAGGCAGATCTCAGAGTTAGGCCAGTTAGGCCAGCCTGGTCTACAGAGTTCTGAGACAGCCAGGGCCACACAAAGAAAAGTCCTAGATAAGCAACCCATACGTGTCATTCTCTAACGCTCTTTCTGCTCAATTCTGCAGCCACACTAATAATCTTTTCTTTTTTCCTTTTTCTGAAAGTCTCACACTGCAACTCAGGCTGGCCTTAAACTTAGGCCCCTCCTGCCTCTGTCTCCAGAGTGCTGGGATTACAGACACTAGCTCCACTGGTCTTGGAATATCTCAGGAATTTTTGACTCAGGGCCTCTGCGCTTTATCTGTATTTTCTTCAAACTGTGGCTCAAATGTCACCTTAGACTCTACCTCCTGAAAGCAAGCATTCTTCCCAGTGTTACTTTTTCCCACAGAACTTACCTGTCCTCACATGATCACATGTACAGTTCCTCAAAATCTTGCATTTTTATCATGTATTGTGATGGGCCCTGCTTACAACAGTGACTAATACACAGGTTCCCGCTTTATGAACACATATTTCTCCTTCTATACTGTAAAAACTAATCCAGTTCACTCTAAAGAACAAAGCCAAAAAGCTGATATTTACTATTAAGTCTGTGGCCTAATCTATCATGTATTCCAGTTTAATCCAACTCTTTCAGGTCTCAGGATTTGTGATGTTTTCTTCAAGGCCAAGATTTAAACTCAATGTGTTTTTGTTACATCGGTTGTCTGGGGATTTTTCTTATTGGTGCTGAGAAGATATACAAGGTTTTTTTATTAAGTGGTCAGCTAGAGCGCTCAATTAATTTGTTTTATCATGAAATTTCTAGTTTCCTAAGCCACCTAATAGGCTCTTAGAACTACATGATGCAATTGCAGTCACTGCTGTTCCAAAAAAGCACTCATAAACATCTGTCATCTCCACCAGACTTTTGTCCAGAGTAAATCTCTATTTAAAACCATACTCCAGTGGCTTGCTGACATCCCAATGTGACCTGTTAGCTTTTAAGATTAAACAGAAACTTACTTCTAGAATTCATGGACCTCAACTTTAAATAGAGCAATTGTGATCCCAAAGGTCACCAGAGAACTAAAATAGTTAGTGCTTTTATGACATTTTGTTTTGTTTTGAGACAGGGTTTTTTTCTCTGTAGCTTTGGCTGTCCTCTAAACTCATAGTGATCTTCTGCCTTCCTGAGTATAGGGATTAAAGGCATATGCTACCAAGCCTGGCTTTTTTCTTTTTTTAATTGAGCCTGGGTTTCTCTGTATAGCCTTGGCTGTCCTATACTTGCTTTGTAGAACAGGTAGACTAGGCTGGCCTCTAACTCATAGCAATCTGTCTGTTTCCACCTCCCTGAGTGCTGGAATTTTTATGACATTCTTATACTTAAAGATAACACACTGGTTTAAAGCAATTGTTTTCAAGGTTAAGCCTAGTCATATGTATCAGTGGAAGATTGCTACCCTTCATTTGATGGTATCCTATATGCCATACTTGGCCTAGTTTTCCTAACCTGTATGGAAGTTGTAAGAGGGAGAAGAGGTACAGGCTTTCTCAAGAAAAAAATTAAATAGACCCTGGAGAAGATGTTTAAATTGAAACCTAAGGATGAAAGCAGCAGCATGCATAGCAGCGCACACCTTTAACACTGGAGGCTAGGGGAGACGGGGGCACGAAGATCTTTAAGAGTTCAGGCCAGCCTGATCTACACAGAGTTCCAGGTCAGCCAGGGCTACATACAGAGAACCTATCTGGAAGGAAAAGAATGAGGTGAGATTGTAGGTGTGTATCACCATGTCTGCTCCTATGTTTTTATCCATGCTATGTTCTTTTTCACTGGTCTTTTAACTGTCCTAATACCACAGCCAAGCAACTATAACCTATTACAAAAACGTGGCTCTAGGCCCTATAGTTATATTATTAAAATAATAAAATACTGTTTAGGCACTCTCTTAGCCAGGTTCAGTGACATATGCCTGTAATCCCAGCACTCAGGGAGACAGAGGCAGGCGGATCTCTGTGAGTTCGAGGCCAGCATGGTCTACAAAGCTAGTCCAGGACAGCCAAGGCTACAAGGCTACACAGAAAAACCCTGTTTAGAAAAAAATGAAAAAGTTCCTCTCTAGCAAGAAGTCCTTGTTTCACCTTTTAGATTATTCATCCTAAGGCTCATGATAGGCTTATTTTTAGGTAGAAATGTGAGGGTGGACTTTTCTATATAAAAATAAAAAGTTGGAGCTGTTTCAAAAGGTAGCATTGTTCTGCTTGCCTCTGGCTAATGTCTATAAGACTATTAGAATAAGCATTAAAACCAAAAAGATTCATCAAACCTACAGCCCAGAACCTCAAAACATTACAAGTACAAGAACTATACTGAAATGTCTTTAATACATTCACACAAAAAGGGAAATACAAAAATTTTAGCAGCAAGTTGAACTATAACTTAAACTATTTTTATTTATTTATTTTACCCTGCATGCTTACTGTGCACCAGTATAAGTGAGTCAGGTCTCTTGGGATGGAGTTACAGAAGGTTGTGGGCTATGGGGATGTTGAACCCAAGAGCAGCCAGTACTCTTAAGTGCTGAACCATCTTTTCAGCTCCCTCTTAAACTATTTAAAATATACTATTTTAAGTTATATACAGGTATTTTTCTTTCAGGATTATGGAAATCTAGGATTATAATTTAACAACTGAATATTAGAAACATCGTTAAACAAAACTGTGTGGCCACTGGTAATTTTTCCTATTTGAAATTGTTTGAATTACCTAAGAGTGCTTGGTGGAATGCTGACACTCCAAGCAAAACATTAAAAAAATGTAAGGTGCTTAAGCTGAGTGTCCTTGGTAATATCATCTGTCATTTCAGGTATTAGAATATACAATTTGCAGCTGTGCAAAGGCAGGCAGCTCTTCATGAGTTTGAGGTCAGCCTGGTCTAAGGAACAAAGAAACAGGTCCAGCCAGCTGGGCTATATAGTGAGAGCCTGTTTAAAAAAAAAAAAAGGGCAGGCAGAGGCTTGGATAGCTCCTGACTTTGAATCAGAAAGTTCAGGGTTCAGTTCCCTGCTACCTTGAGAGGTGGCCCCTGGAAGTTTAAGAGTAGCTCAGACTGTGGCTCAGAATTCAAACAAAAGAGAGCATTAAGAGGAAAGGAGGGGTGGTGGTGCATGTCTCTAATCCCAGCTCTTGGGAGGCAGACCTGACCTCTGTTAGTTTGAGGCCAGTATGGTCTATAGAGCAAGTTCCAGGACAGCCAGGGCTACACACAAAGAAGCTCTGTCTTGAAAACAAAACAACCCTCCCCGCTCCAAGAGCCAATGTTCTACCAAAGAACCCATTCCCAGGCCTAGGGACTATTTTCACTTTCGTTATGAGATACTGATGCAAACCCAAGACTTGTGCATGCTAGCCAAGCATCCTACCAAGGTATATGCCCCTAGCCTCAAAAGCTGTATTTGTAAACTACAGCGAAGACCAAATAATAACTAACTCATTATGATTTGTTATATCTAATTTGTTACATCTATGAAGCCCCGGATAGATCTGGAATCCTAGCACCCAAGAGGTGGAGAGCACAGCGATCACAGGTTTGAGGATAGGTAGGGCTACGTTCAGGGAGTTCAAGGTCAACTTCATCACAAGGCAAGACCTTGTCTCAAAACAACAAAAAGCCACACATGGCTGTGTACACCTGTGATCCCCAACATTAAGAAGTAAAATATTCCAAGTTCAAAGACAGGTAGGCTATGTAGTGAATTCCAGGCCAATCTAGGCCACATACATAGCAAGACCCAGTCTCAAAATAGAAAACATATATTATAATTAAAAGAATGATTCTAATTTCATTAGGTACATTTTGCATTTCAGCTGTCAAAATCTTGAAATATGCAATGTAAATTAAAAAAATCCAACTTAGTTTCTGCTGAGCTATAACAGAAAAGAACACACAGAATTTATATTTTTAAACCATTTAACAGCTCCCTTTTGACTAAAATAAAAATATGGGTACAGGAAATATCTAAGTTTTAAGCAACATGTTTTATTGACTCGGGTCTCATATCTATACTTGTACAGATGTATACATATACAAAACCATATTGTTCTTACCAATTCTTTCAAATATTGCCTAAGAACCACGATAAACACTTTTTATAAACACTAAAAGATGGAGACAAACACCATTTGATTCAATGGTCATTTTTAAAAAGAAAAACATTAAAAATGCATTTGTGAAAAAAAATTTCATTTGTCAATTTAGATTTTATCCACTCTGAATGGTTCCATTTTAATTTAGGATAAGAAAACAGGACTTCATTTCCAAACATTTCTTGTACTTTTGTCTGTTAGAAACAAGGAAGTTTTCTCTGTAACAAGTTCCAGTGAAAGAAACTAGAGTTCCCCAACTGGAGCACAGGTCTTCCACAAGTGCTAGCACATGATAAAACAGCAATATCCCGCGGCCTTTTTTTTTTGAGCAAGGTCTTGATGTAGCACAAGCTAGCTTCCAACTTTCGATCCTCCTGCCTCATCCTCCAAAGTAGCTGGGATTACAACATCTTACTCAACTTAGTAGCAGTCTTAATTTCATAAAAACTATTGCTAAGATGTTGGTTTTGGTCGCTTTGCAGATGGTCCATCTGAGTTAGTTCTGTTACCAATGTTATTTTCATCTTCTGCATCATCTTCATCATCACCTTTTAAAATAAATGTTTGTTGTATGAGGTTATGTTTAGTGGATGAAAAATATAGATAGGTAAAGTGATTGATATGAGACCATTTCTCTTTGGGGACTAAAAAACCATGCATATCTTACATTTTATAAACCTCAGGCGCCAGTAGGATGGCTCAGGGGGTACAAGTAAATGCAGTACAAGTTTGGTGATCCTAGTTTAATCCCTGGAACCCATGTAAGGTGGAGAACCAATTCTACACATGTAACATGCTACCCACATACACATAAAATAGATGAATTTTTAAAAACTTCGGAAAGTTTTTAGGTGTGATAACCTTTAATCTCAGCACTCATGAGTAAGAGACATGCAGATCTCTGTAAGTTAAAGGCCAGCCTTACCTACATCATAAATTCCAGGGGAGACGGGGCCACATACCGAGACCATGTCTCAAAAACAAAGTAAGTGTACATGTTTAATCACAGCACTTGGGAGGCGGATCTCTGAGTTCGAGGCCAGCCTGTATACAATAGTGAGTTCCAGTATAGCCAGGGCTACATACAGAGGTCCTGTGTGGTGGTTTGAATAGGTATGACCCCCTTAGACTCATGTTTGAATGCTTGGCCCGCAGGGAATGGCACTATTAGGAGGTGTGGCCTTGTTGGAGGAAGTGTGTCACTGTGGAGGCAGGCTGTGGGGTCTTATATATACTCAAGCCATGCCCAGTAGGACAGTCTCCTGCTGCCTATGGTTCAAGATACAGAACTCTCCACTCCTCCAGTACCATATCTGAGTGCACACTGCTATGCTTCCCACCATGAATGATAATCGACTAAAATCTCTGAACTGTAAGCCAGCCCCAATTAAATGTTTTCCTTTATAAGAGTTGCAGTGGTCATACTGTCTCTTCACAGCAATAAAACTCTAAGACACCTTCTCAAAAGCACCACCACCTTCAGGAATTTTAGAATTAAAAATTTTTCTATCACTTACTTTTGGAGATTAACTCATTCTCCATTAAAATTCACTCCTATTCAGAGACAGTGACCTGACTTCAGTTGGTAGTTTTCAGAATATTCACTTGCTTATCTAACCATCACCACTAATTCTGAAATATGCTAATTACTTCCAAAAGACACTCCATAACCACAAACAGCCATTCTTTGTTCCTTTCACTCTTACAATTCCTATTTTACTTTCAAGCTCTATGGATTTGTTTATTTTGGATGCCTCATAAAAATAGAAACAGAGTGTACAGCCATTTGTGCCTGAGTTGTCTTAAAATTCATTATTGTAACACGTATCCACACTTCATTCCTTTGTGTATGTATGATGTGTATGTACATGTCATAGCGCACACAAACTCTCTACAGTCTTTCCCTTCTACTTTAAGGAAGGGTCTCTGCATACATCAAGCTTTCTGGCTCTGACTCCCAACTCACTGCAGGGGCACTAGGATTACAAGGACATGGTGTTACATGGATGCTCAGGAGTCAAACCCAAGTCCTCAAGTTTGTACCGCTAGCTTTATCTACTGAACAATCTCCAATACTTCATTCTATACAATGACTATTAATAAACAATTAAAAGAATACGTAAGTTCTGCTCAGGTCATGGGCATTTCTATATTTCCATTTTACAGCTATTAACAAACAGTGCTGCTACAATCAATGTATTGAGCTTTGGTATAGACATGCCCAGTTAACTCTGGAGAACCAGTGTGTAACTGAGGGGTGGTATGGTTATGTTTTTGAGGAACTCTGAAGTAGACACACCATTTCACATTTCCACCACCAATGGCCTCTGATGTCTTCATATCTTAGTGTGATGGCTAACCTTGGTTGTCAACTTATGTAGCCCATGTGAAAAGAAAGGGAAGGAAGCTTTTGCTTTTTGCCTGCTTGCTCTCACTCTGACTAGCAAGTTCACCTATCCTGTTCCTGAGATGCCTGAGATGGTCCCCTTTGCTGGTGTGAGAACCTATTTTTTTTTAAGGATGCCAGCATAGAATCGAAAACTGGCAGCTCTGTAAGACTTCCTGGGACTCCAGCACCATATTGGGACTGAAGAGACATCCACTCTTACAGACTGAATACCAGTTCCCTGGCCTTTCTGTTGGATTACTCGGACCCCAGGCTGTAAGCACTCTAATACATATCTCTATGTGTATATACTGCATGGAAATATATATGCTTATTCTATCAGTTCTGCTTTAGAGAACCCTGACTAGTACACCTAGCTAATACTTTTAATTGTTCTTTTTAATGACAGCCAATACCTATATTATAAAGAACAGGGAAGTACAGTTTAACCCCCTCTGCAGAAGAACTGACCCCTTAGCTCAGGACAATAAAATATCTATTTTGGTGTTCAAAATAAAAAAAAAAATCTAATAAAGGACGAGTGTGGTGGCACATTTCTTTAATCCCCACACTGCTGAGGCAGAGGCAGGCAGACCTCTGCAAATACAAAGACAGGAGGGTTTAACAGTTACACGGTGACAATGTCTACAAAATAATTTTTTTCCTATTAACAGAGGGGGAGCTGGAGTGAGGGCTTAGTTGCTTAAGCGAACTGCCTACGCTTTCCCTGCATGGCACTCAACTATCTGTAACTTTGGTTCCAGGGGATTCGATGCCCTCTTCTGGCCTCTTAAGACACTGCATACAGGTGCTGGCTAACATTCATCTTATAAAAAACAAAACAAAAACCAAACTGACAGTTAATTTCTACAACAGTAGAGGGGGTGAAAGAAAGTAAGGGCCAGAGGAAGGACTGTGGTGCTTTTGGACGTGACATCGCCCTTACACTCTGGCAATAGCTGTGGTTACCCGCACCAGACAGCAACCTCAAAATTCGATCATGGAAGGGGGAGGGGCTCATGAGGTCCCACCCTTCCCGGAGGAGCTTTTGGCAGTTAATAGTTTCTGGGAATATGGTTCATTTTCTTCAGTGGTGTACTCACTGCTGAACTGCCCTCGTTCCAGTAAATAATCACCCACCCACGCGCATACAGGCGACCTTAAATAAACTCAGTGAGTGACAACAAAAGGAAAGAAGGTGGGGCCCTGTTATGAAGGGGTTCAGCGGGGGAGGGAAGGAGAAAATGACCACTGTGCATTACATATATGTAGATAGCAAAATTAAAATATAATTATGTAACATATGTATGAGATTATCAATTAATTTAAAAATACAACCCCCACCCACAACATTTACTTTACCCAGAAAACTGAGAAACGAGAAAGGAGCCTCTGAGGGTTAGGACTCCCTACAACAAAGTCTGTCTCTATCGTCTGAAGCTGTTCCCATTTTGCCAAACATGTTTTTCTAATTTCACACCTGATCAAACTCCTTTCCGTCTTTCAACACCCAGCTCCAATCTCCCTCCCCTTTCGGTCTTCCTGTCAGCCAGCAAAGGTTATAGACCGCCACAGTTTCCACTCTTTCACGAGCATGTCTGCCTATCTCAGTCCTTGGCGTCCCACAAGAGCACAGGAGGCGAGCTGACCTGGTTGGTTGTCCAGTCCCTAGGCCAACGCTCGCCACGCTTTTCTCAGCGATATAAATGAAAAGTCGCGAAGACGGGGGTGATCAGACAAAGAGGGCAGAGAGGGCTCATGACTTTTAGCTGCGATTCCTCCTCCCCCAGGCTCGCCTCCTCAAGATGCCCTTCACACGGCCCGCCCCCGCCGGAGTCCCCCGGCGCCCCGCCCCGGCGCTCACCGTCCGAAGCGTCGTCGGGATCTGCCGGCACGCCCTGCGCGTCTCCCTCCGCTAGGGACCCGAAGAGCTCGGCTACCAGCTCCTTCATCCGGGCCACGCCCGCCGACAGGCTCCGGAGAGGGTCCGCGTCGCCCGACGCCTCACAGGACACCTGCAGCCGCCGCGGCTCCCCGTCGCCACCGACGTACTCCCCGGAAAGCTCCATGGAGACCGCTCAGCTTCAACAGCGCGCCACAGACAATCGCCACCCGGAAGCGGAAGCCAGCCCGCGGCCGGGGCGGGCGGGAGAGAGCAAAAGGAATGACTTCCGATCCCCGGGAACCGCCCCGCCCATTTTCGGCCGTCTCCTTCTCCGGGATTGGCTGCGTGGCGCTCAGGCCCCGCCTTCTCACGACGCCCCTGGCGGCCACTTTTCCCGCGTCCGCCTGGGCTGCGCAGCGGAGCTCGGTGACAGTTGAAGATGGCCGGAGCCGAGAGCCCCGCCGGTTGCCAGGCAGAGCTGGAGCCCGTGGTGTCGCTGGTGGACGTGCTGGAGGAGGACGAGGAGCTGGAGAATGAGGCTTGCGCCGTCTTGGGCGGCAGCGACTCGGAGAAGTGCTCTTACTCGCAGGTGCGCACGGCCCGGCTGCTCTCGCCGCCCTGCCAGCTTCCCGCCGGCCGCGGCCGGGTCCGCCCGACGCTCCGCGGCGGGCCTGCAACTCTGGGCAGCCTCGGCCCGGCTGCCCTTTCGTCTTCAGCTTGTCGCCGGCAGGGCTCTCCCTCCGCCCCACGGCGGGACTCTTACAGGCTCCGGTCGTGGAGCGGCAGCTCTACCCTCCAGTTGTCGCCTCTTGGTGGCCTGCTTTCCACGAGATTAACCTCGTGACCACTCAAACCCAGATATTCTTTGCTCCCACTTCTCCCACCCTAAAGAATGTTAATTAGGCACCGTGAGGGAAAAGTAAAGGGTACCTGGGCCGGGTTTGAAAATCTTCCGGTGAGGGTGGCCTTCTAGACATTTCTGCAGTCTAGTTTAACTGCTAGCTGGTGCTTTTTTCCGGTTAAACGGAGTTCCTTGTTTATGTGCTGGGTGACGCCCCCTCTCCCTCGGGAGTAGGTTGGAATTAGAATATCAGGTGGCCCTGGAAAGTCAAGAGAGGAGAAAAGGATCCGTTTGGTGTTTGTGCGACCATGTGAACAAGAGCTTGAGAGGCCGAGATGTGATTAGTGACGCCTACCGTCCGTCTAAGTACTAAAGTGAAGAAGGGTGGGTAGGAAGGAAACTAAAAAGAACGAGAATTGGTGGAAGGAAACAGGCAACTATGCCTGTGGGTGGAGTGGAAGACTGGGGAAGAGGCTTGATGTGGTGTGGTGTGAACCGAAGTCGAAATTGTTTCTGTTGACCCAGTTGGGTTTGCACTGCGAAATTGTTGAATAAATCTTACATCCCAGAAACAGTCAAAGAATGGTCATTGGCATTTAAATTAAAGGATCATTGTTAGGTTTCCAACCCAGGACAAAGGGTTGCGTGCCTTATTTAACATACCAAAGCTGGCTGGCCACCAGGTTCTCCCCACGTCCTTCAGTACCTGCCTGGGCTCTCCTTGCTCCATTTTCCCTACCCTAAACTTCTGCGGCCCAGGGCCTGGGCTAGCCTTCCCCCAGTTGCTCTTCCCTAAATAATCCAAACATTTTGGTTACCCAGCTCTCTTTTGGGCCTTCTGGCTGCTGTACCTGCCTGTTCCCCCCCCCCCCCTTTTTCTCCCTTCTCTTCTGCCTCCCCTCACAGGGCTCCAGCGCCGGTCCCGTCTACTCTGGACTCTTCCAGATGTCCTCTAGCTATGCTCTTCCTTTTATCTATAATAAACATTCTCCATCATATCAAGGAACAGTGACGTCCTTTGCTTTTTTCCACTCATCTGGAACTGCAACCCAGGACCAGTCATTTTTTTTCTCCGTTTTTCATAGAATGACCACTAAGCCCCCTCCCCTCCCTTGGAAAAAGAAAGGTCCTAAGTCTGTATGTCAGCTGTTAATTACTATATTTATCTTCATAAAATGTTAACTAAACATTTTTGTTGTTGGAGATAGGGTCTTATGTAGACCAGATCTACTTGAAGTTTTGATTCTCCTGCCCTCACTTCCCAAGTACTGCTGGTATTACAAGTGTGCATCACCATGCTTGGCTTAACATTTTGATTTTTTTTGTGGGTTTTGTTTTGTGTTTTTGTTTTTTGAGACAAAGACACATTGAGTAGTTCTAACTGGCTCAAAACTCGCTATGTAGGCCAGGCTGGCCTTGAACTCACAAAGATCCACATCTCTCCCAAGTGCTAGGACTAAAGGCTTAGGTTTTTGTTTTTTAAAGTCATATCTCTAGACATTTAGTGTTTATTATTGTTTTTTTCTTTTAGTTTTTCAAGATAGGGTTTCTCTGTGTAGTCCTGGCTGTCCTAGAACTCACTCTATAGACCAGGCTGGCCTTGAACTCAGAGATGTGCCTGCCTTTGCCTCCTGGGATTAGCAGCAAGCACCACCGCTGCCTGGCAGGTGTTTTGTTTTTTGTTTTGTTTTGTTTTAGATTTAGTTTTTAATTGTTTGTTTGTGTGGGTATGTGTGTGTGAGCACAGGTGCCCTGAGACCGCAGGAGTCTGATTCCCCTAAGCTGGAGTTAAGGGCTGTGAGCTGCTTAACATGTGTCCTAGGAAATTAATGCTAGTTCTTTGTGAGAGCAGTATGTGCTCTTAACCTCTGAGCCATCTCTCTAACCTCAAGTTGATTCAGTCTTTGTAAAAAAGTGTGTGTGTGTGTGTGCGCGCGCGTGCGCGCGAGCGAATGCACATACCACAGAATGAGTGCAGGCTGACACCGGAGAACAACTTTGTGGAATCAGTTGTCTCCACCTTTATGTGGTTCTGGAGATGGAATGCAGATTTCCAGGCTTACACATCCAGAGCCTTTACCCACAGAGCTACGTGACTGGCTCCACAGATTCTGTATTGAAGTAAAGTAGAAATTTTTGTGCCATTCCCCACAAACCACATTAAAGCCAGGCATGTTGTGTGCTTATAATGCCCTTTCTGGGGAGACATATGCCCCCTTACCCATATTTCTAAGTTTTGGCTGTTTTTTTTTTTTTTTTTCACCTTTTAATTCTTGAATATTTTAAATCTACAGATAACGTGAAAGAACAGTCTTATGAATATCTGTATCCCTTGTGAATATATTGCTTTTAATCATTTGTCTATTCAATATTCTTTCCTTTCTTACTCTTTGTTATTTGACAGTAAGTCGTGGGCGTCATTACACTCTTCTTCTAGATGTTTCCCCATATATCACCCCAAATTAAAATCATTGTTTTTATGCATTAATTTTTCTTCTTGGGTTGAATTATAAGCATTTTCTTTTAAAAAAAAAAAAAAGTGAGCTGTGTGGTGGTGGCTCATGCATTACCTAGTACTTGGGAGGCAGGGGCAGGCAGATCTGTTGAGTTTGAGGCCAGCCTGGCCTACAGAGGGAGTTCCAGGACAGCCAGGACTTGTCTTGAGCGGTCCCCTATCCCCCCAAAAAAGTGATGCTACTCTCTTAAACCCATGTAAACTCACTTTTATTTTCATGTGTTAATGATTAAACAGATCAGTAAGTTTATCCACAGATTTTAAACTTACTTATTGCTATAAGAAAAAAATTACATAAAAACAAGCACCAGTATAGGGCTGGAGTTTGTAATAGTGTTTTGATCCTTTGTGGCATAACTTTTTATTTTATTTTTTTTCTTTTCTGTTTTGGGCTGGTCTTTAGGGCTCAGTGAAGAGACAAGCACTGTATGCTTGTAGTACCTGCACACCAGAGGGAGAAGAACCGGCAGGAATTTGTTTGGCTTGCAGCTATGAATGCCATGGAAGTCATAAACTATTTGAACTATACACAAAAAGGTAAAGTTTTTGCTGAGTGTCTTCTAAAAGTTTAGATTCTTTTGCAATCACAGTGCCTTCTTAATCTTGCTTTTCATTCAGAGTAATTGTGTGTTGGTAAAATTTAATATGAGCGGGAATGGTTTTTTCATAGGCCTTTTAAAATTTTAATTATGAGTACTAGATCAAACTACTCATTTTTCCTTTTTTTATTTCATTTGTGTGTGAGAGTGATAAAGTTATTTGTTTTTTATGTGTAGTGATGTCCTGAATTATAAAGTGTTTTTTTGTTGTTGTTGTTGTTGTTGGTTGTTGTAAAATTCCAAATAAGATACAAACATCAAAAAGGCTAGATTTAGATTTTAGAAATGAGTCAAAAAGGGAAGTGATGATTGGTATTGAAAGAGTAATTAATTTTAAAAGAAAACTTAAATATATATTCTTCTTTTCTTAATAGAAATTTTCGTTGTGATTGTGGAAACAGCAAATTTAAAAATTTGGAATGCAAATTATTTCCTGTAAGTAAGCATGGTGATTACAAATATATGTGGGAGCAGGGACTGGAGAGATGGCTCATGAGCTAAGAGCATGTTTGTTCTTTCAAGGATCTAGTTCATAGCATCTACAACCACTTGGAACTCCAGCTCCAGGAGATCCAAAACACACACACACACACACACACACACACACACACACACACACACACA